TTTATTGTTAATCACAGAGACATTGAATTTAAACAGACCTTCATCTGCATACCCTTTCCCAACAAAGGAACCACCCTTAGACAACTTGACCACTTTCTAAAACAATCTTAAAACCCTTTTTAACTAAGATAGATTCAGACACTAGATTTTTCCTAATATCAGGTACATAAAGGACATCCTTCAAATTAAGGATATTTCCAGAAGTAAATCTAAGCATCTCAGTTCCTTTCCCCTCGATTTTGGAGGAAGCATTCCCCATGAACAGACATTCTCCATCACTAGCGGGAGTGAATGTAGAAAATGCACCTCTCGTGCAGCAAATATGCTTGGTAACTCCAAAATCTACCCACCAATCTGTCATGTTGCTTACTAGATTCACTTCTGTCACCATAGTAGAGAAATTCCCATCCTCTACCACATGTGTCTGATGCTTTGCAGCTTTTCCTTTCCTATTTTTGCAATCCTTTGCAAGGTGACCTGGTATACCACAAACAAAACAGTCACCAACAATTTTATTCTTAAACTGAGGCTTAGACCGATTGTTCTTTCCTACAAATTGTTTTTCCTTGTTTCTGCCTTTAAAATTCTGACCCCTTATAAAATTTTCAACTGATTTCTTACTTCCAGAACTTCCTTCAATAAGATTAGCCTTGGTATCAAAGTTTGGCCTTTCTTCACGTTCTGTCATTCTATTGTCCTCCTCAATTCTAATCCTGATAATCATATCCTCTAAGGACATTTCTTTTCTCTTATGCTTCAAACAATTTTTATACTCTTTCCAAGAAGGTGGCAATTTTTCAATTATAGCTGACACTTGAAAGACCTCAAAGATTTTATATCTTTCAGCAATAATTTCGTGAATTATAATCTGCAATTCTTCAACTTGACTAACCACAGTTTTAACATCATTCATTTTAAAATCTAAAAACTTTCCCACAACAAATTTCTTGGTTCCAGCAATCTTCTGTAGCATATTTCTTTTATAATGAATTCCATAACTCTTTTGCAGATTTACACGAGTAGTAAACATCATATAGATCTAATGTTAAACAATTCAGAATATAATTCCTGCACATATAATCCTTATGTTCCCAATTAGCTAAATCCTCTGTTTCCTTATTAGTAGGATTATCAGCAATTACAAAATCGGGTTTATTTGATTCAATAGCATCAACGACTTTAAGCGTTGTCAAATAAAATCACAATTTCATTTGCCATCTCTTAAAATTCTTTCCATCAAACAACTCAGATTTTTCAGAATACTTAGGAACAGATATCTCTACAGCAGACATGGCAACTAATTATAAAGATAATTTCACTTTAGATTGTTGGAATAATAACTAGTTGCAGTAATGTTCAGAACAATAAAATGCAGAAATATATAAGACTTATCGTCTTATCGTCCGATTGAGTCTCATGACAGCACGATATCCTAAAGTGAAATTGCCCGTCGATAATTGCTGCAACCTCCGTGGACAATCTCTCAGGATACAACGATCGTAAACCACTTGTGCAGCAATCACGAATGGTTTTTCCAGAACTCTCAATTGTACTCCAAAATATATGTGAAAACACGAGTATGAAAATCAGAATATGAAAATGAAGGATTGATACAAGATGATTTTTCTATTTTCTTTTTTGTATGTATTTTTCCCAAAACGAGATATGGATTTATATAGGCAGGATCGAAGTAACAGTCTCCACCATGATCAGAGATTAATTCAGAATTTTAATGACTGAGTAGTGGGTATTTTAATGACTATTAGTGGGTTATTACAAAAACAAACAGTCAGAAAATACTGGCTAGTTTTACCCATTAAATAATAATAAAAAAATCATTTATTTTAGTCAAGGAAGAAGCCTAAGAGCCCAAGGCCCCAATCAAGACATTTTAATATCTGCGTGGAGAGTGACTCGAACCCCTGACGTCCCACACAAATGTCACATTTCCCACCACTTTGGCACTTTATCTAATTTGATTATTTCTTTCACATTTTATATTTATACCATAAATATATAAAAGGAAGTTCGTGCTGGTATTTTTCGACAATATCTTGATTTATAATAAAGATTTCGCATAGCATGTGCAACGCTTAGAAATGGTGTTAAGAGCATTAGCTTCGCATCATCTCTATGCCAATGCTACGAAGTGTCTTTCTGTGAAGCCACAGTGAATACTTCGGGCAATTTGGTGTCAACTAAAGGGGTTGCGCCTATCCAAATAAGAGTGCCTCCATGGAGCAATAGGCAACCCCCATCCCCCTCACCCCCAAAAAAAGTCTCAGAGAACCTTGGGGATTTTTATGTCTAACGGATTATTACAAACGCTTTGTGGCCGAATACTAGGACATTTCTTGGCCTCCAATGCAGCAACTCAAGAAGGATGCTTTTGGTTGGACAACAGCGATAGAAAAGACATTCCAACTATTGAAGTTGGCTATGCTTACAGTGCCGATATTAGCATTCCCTAATTTTCCCCAACCTTTCATTATTGAATTAGATACATCAGGATATGATATTGAGGAAATTCTCCTACAAAATCATCGGCCAATCACCTATTTCAGGTAAGTGCTATCGACTCGATCTCGCTTCAATCTGTTTATGAGAGGGAATTAATGGCCATTGTCTTGGCTATTCAAAAATGGAGACATTATATTTTGGGACATCGATTCATAGTACGAACCGACCAAAGAAGCTTGAAATACCTCTTAGAGCATCGGTTAGTTCAGGGTGAGTTTTAGCGTTGGGTAACCAACTTAATGGGATATGAATTTGAAATTTACACCACCTAGGATAGGAAAATAAGGCTACAGATGCATTATCCCGTGTTTCTCCTCCTATAGAACTGTCTGCCCTCACTTCTCCATTCATTCTGGACGTGCAATCACTGATGGCTCAAGTGGACTCAAACCTTTTGCTTTCTAAGCTCAAGAAGGAGCTACAGGCTGACCTGAACTCACACTCTCGTTATACATTATTACAGGGAAAACTTCTTACAAAGGGATGTTGGTACTTCCATGCTCTTCTTCCCAGATTCCGACAATGCTCCAAGAGTTTCAAAGCAACACGGTGGGAGGTCATTCGGGTTTCCTAAGAACTTACAAATAGAGGTGGGCGCGGGTCGAGAACCGAACCGAACCAAAATTTTCGGGTACCTAGTAAATTGCTTCGTCGGGTCCAAATATAATTATGGAACCGTTTGGGTTTGGTTCTGTTCGGTTCAATTCGGTTCGATTCCGTACTATAATTAAATTTTTTAACATTTATAACAACATTATATAAATAAAACTAATGACACATTCAATGGTTTTTGAATGTCAGAGACTAGTAGACTAACTTGTTCAAATAATCGCTACGATCAAAGCTTTGATTGACGAAGGTCACAACTTTGGTCGAAGGTCACAGCATCGATCGACGATTGTATAGGTTTTGGAATGTCAGCGAGGCTGCGAGAGTAATTGTGAGAGTCGAGACAGCGTTATGCACTTTAGTGTAGGTGTTTAGGGTTATTTAGTGGGTTGGATCTTGTTAGGCTAAGAAATGAAACAATAAAACGAGTAATTGAGCCAAAAATTAAAAAAAATAGAAATGAAACAAATTATTGGGCCAAAAATTTGGATTTAGAAATTGTTAATTTGTTAATTTGTTTAGAAAAATTAAAATTAAAATAATTTGATTTATTCAATGTAAAAAAATAAATTAGAAAGATTCGGTTCTTATTCGATTCTTCGGTTCTTGGTCTAGAACTAAGAACTGAACCGTACCCATCGGTTCTCAATTCAGATACCCGTTCGGATGTTTAATTTGTCAAGAACCGTCAGGTTTGGTTTGGCTCGGTTCGGTTCGATTTGGTTCGGTTGGTTCGGGAGATTTGCCCAGCCCTACTTACAAACGATCGACCAGCACTCTATATTAGATAGGTATAAAGAAGGATATCAAACAGTTTGTCGAGGAATGACCAGTCTGTCAGAAGAATAAAAGCCTTGCATTGTCTCCTGCCAACCTTTTGTAGCCTTTACCAATCCCGCATACCGATGGCCAAACCAAGGTTGTGAACTGTTGTGTTGAGACTATTAAAGGTGCTTTGCATATGATAAACCACGAAGCTGGAGCAATTGACTGCCTTGGGCGGAATAATAGTACGTCATATTCCATGCGTCATCAAATACCAAATCCTTCGGTGCAGTTTATGGCCCAGATCCCCATCCCCTGTTACGTTTTGGATCTAAGCTAAAGAAGGCTTTGTTTGGATTCAACTGAAACATGCCAGCAGTTGCCTTCAAACTTCAATGCAACCTTAGAATGGATGGTGGAACCAGAGAAGGTCCTAGGAATATGCCCTGCTCCAGCAGGCCATTCGACAGGAGGGGAAGTGATCTTCCAGAATCTGAGGCATCCTGGGAATCTGTGGCATCAATTAACCAACAGTTTCCAGCATTCTGCCATGAGGACAAGGTGACTACGGAACCCAGGGGTAATGATAAACCTCGCATTGGATACACTTGTTCTAGAAGAATGGCGGGAAGCAACAGATTTCAGAAACAATTTTTGTTAATTTATATGGGTGATTTAAATAGAATTTAATTAAAGGGGCATATACGTGAATGTGAGAAGTGGGGGGATAATTGTAAGCAGCCAAAAATTGAGAGTAGAAGAGGGTAGTTGGGAGAGATATCTTAACACAATTTTAGTTGTATCATTCTGTAATTTTCTTTCCCAGCTGATAATAAAGTTCAGTCACTGATTTCTCTGTTCTTCTACAGCAAATTGTCTTTTCCAACTTGAATCTTATCATATTCCACATAATGTGGCCCTTCATCTAGTTTTTAGTGTATAAATTTATACTAGAACCAAAACTGTTGCAGACAACTAAAAGAAAATGCATTAAATCGACAGAACTCCAAAGAAAGCAAAAACTAATTTCATAGGCGAAAACATTTAATTGCAGTCACCAGAACGAGAGCAACAATTTAAAGAATCCCAACAAGCGTGAAATCTACCTTCGCAGGTTGGTTTTTAGGGATTGGCAAAGAACTTGAACAGAGTTCTTCCTTGACATGATCGGGAAGAGTAGCAGGGGTTGATGATAAAGGATGGAAGCTCGTAGAAGGCGGCATCAGAGATCCCGGTAGTGTAGGTTCAAGCTCATTTTGGATATCATTTATCCTTTGCAGAAGCTCTTTTAAATAATCAATGGCATCCCCAAGGATAGAAGCTCTGTCCATCTATGAACATAAAGATAACAATCAGATTGCATCAGCCATAACTCAATTAACCAAACAAATAACTGTAAATCACCAATAAAGATTCTTGTCAAAAATTACCTTTATATGTCATAGAACACTGGATTTAACAATAAAAATCTATTTTATCAGCTATTTTAATAAGTAAGCACAAAGAATATCTAGTACTGAATCCCACCATTTTCTCATGCCCGTGCATTTTCCCTGGGGGGAGGGCATAAACAAATTAACCTTATCCAAAGAATCAGGACTTAGGAGTCGTGTTTAATTTTATTCATTTGTAAAATCGTGTTTAGTATTTAGAATTACGTTTCATTTTCAGTAGTATTTTGCTTCAGTGGTGTATCAGAACATTCTTTATTTCTTTCTTCTGCAGTTTATGATATGAAAGGCATTGTCTTTTCCTGTCCTAAAACCATTTGAACAGATGTTTCATAAATTGATTCAGATATCTCCAATTCCTATCACAAAGCATTTCAACTGCAGAATTAAAAGGACAAAAGCAATAATACTAGGTTCTATATCCAATTCCAGGTGCTAAGGATAAGCAAGTAGGCAAGGGGAGGCTTTCTTCTTCAAACTAAAAAAGCATAGGAATATGGATTCTTCTTGAATTCCTTCATTGATGCTTTCTTGATTCCCCTACATCGATACATAGAAATAATTTCATAAGAAGCCAGAAAGCCATTTTACCTCGGCACAAATCCTTATCCTAAAGATTGTAGGCAAAAATTTCATCAAACCAAGGCTATCAAGAACTGAGCAAAATAAAAACGAACTAAAAAACAGGAAGCCTGAAATGTTTGTATACCTTGCTTATTTTGGGCACAACAGACCTAAGCATATAAAGCCTGTCATTGAGTTTCTTCCTCCTCCGCCTCTCCGCCATTAAATTTTTGGCCGGTAGACCCTTCTTCTTCCCCTTGTGATCTCCAACTGTAGAACTACTATTCGCATTCAAATTGTTTCCACCAATATTCACATTCCCATCCCCAATGTTATAGGTATTCTCAGTAGGCTCATCCGAATCATAATTTAAAGTCAAAACATCAACATCCACATTCTCCTCCATTTCATAGTTAAAGTTCCTTTTCCTCTTCTTTTCCAATTCCATTTCCCCAGCATCATCTCTATTCTCCCAACTCCCCTCCATCCTCGTAGAATCCTCACCACTTTTGAATCTGGGGAGCGCCAAGTTCCTCAATTCGTCGACTCCGCTAGAGCCCTGCCGCAAGGCAGCTCTCTTCTGAAAAAGTGTGGGCTGTAATCCAACCGGTGGAAACCCTTGAAGTGGTCTCAACCCCTTAGACTTGCTAGGAAACAGAGCACTCCCGTAACCCTCGAAACCAAAAGCTTCAGGACCACCACCAATGGTTGTCTTGCAGTCGAAAAACGACTGTAAACGAGTATTGGTCGGAAATTCAGAACTCGGTTCCGATGGACCCAACTCACCCATCAAAACAGAACCAGAACTCGCACTCTGATTAGCGAAGAAATTCATGTCTCCGGAAAAATCAAAGCCATAGTCAAAAGTTTGGTTCCAAACAAAGTTAAAGAGCGACGGAAAACAGGATTTGGAAGGGAAAAATGACTGTGATGGGTCAAGTGACGGTGAACATGAAGACTCCTCCTCCAGGGGATTGAACAAAAGGCTGCTAAATTCTGGTAGTTGGGAATTCATATGGAGGTCAGGATTTGGTGGGTTCATCGCATTGTTAATGAACCACTCGTGTTCGAGCATGGACTTGACGCTAGACATAGAAGCTTTCTTATCTTTATCATTACATGTCTCCATTTCATTTTTACTTGGCCATGAAATTTCTTCATCTTCTTCTCCTTCCGTCCAAACGACGCCGTTGGACACCGCCACCGGTAGCATTGCCTTTAGTTTATCTACAAGATGGGGTGCGGTGCAGTACAGAGCAGTAGACGAATAAGGGAAGTGGATATTTTGTGTTACAGAGTACCACCAATTTTTAAGAGAGAGATTTCGAGTTTGAATAATAATAATAGTAATAATAATTATTATATTACCACTACAAAACTTACTTGCTACACCACATTATAATTACACTACAATTTAAATATATTTTTAATAAATACACCACACTAAATTTACATATATACTCATGATCTAATAAAAACTAAAATTAAAAAATAAATAAAGTATTGCGGTGTGCTTATCATCCAAACACTACTACTCATTTTTCTCATCCTTTCAACTCATTCTGAAAATTTCAATATGATGAAAAGAGTTCCTGGAACTATTTTTTCTTTATTTATTTTTTAAAGAAGGGGAAGATAAACCCTATTTAGAAACAGTGCTTGCAGTGGGTGTCGTTATATTGTTAGGAGTGTGCTGGATGGTGGAGAAGTAGCGGTTCTTGACGATGTCGTCATGGTTGCTCCGCCTCCAGTTGTGGCTGCAACGTTGATTTGAAATTTCATTTCACCACTGCAATGGCCAGGCCCAGGTACACCACAAATGAAGTAGTGCTTTCCCGGCTGTCTTAAGTTTGATTGAGGAGGTGCCACTACTATATGTAGTGATGTGATAGAGTTCCAATAGTGCGTGAGGTGTAGTCTGACTCTTTTTTATCACTTCCTTCATCCACTGTATGCCTACTTGGATAGTTGAATACTGGATATTCATTAACCGAAAATCATTATAATTTATTGAGTACATTAATGGTTCATTAATCCAAAACTATAATTATGTAATTTTGCTTGAGGTTATTTAAGTAAATAAGAAAAATATGGTGCACTTAATAAAATTTGTAGTGGTAATATAACTACCCTAATAATAATAATAATAATAAAAGGAAAGCCCTGAAATTAGAAGATTGGTAGTAACTAGCAAGAAAGCTTTGGTTTGTTATTTTCCAGCCGTTTGCTATTTATAATTTTTGAAAATGTCAAAAATGTGTTTGGTCACTCATTCTGAAAACAAGGAACAAGTTATAACTGAAAATTCAAAACGATTTTTTTTTCCGTTTCGAGTGTTTTCAGTTAAAAAAACTCAAAACGCGGAAAACGCTCAAAACATCCCCCCCCCCTTTTTTTTTTCAAGGGATGCTCAGGACTTTTAAAATAATAAATTCATCAAATTTAAAATATATATTATATGATAATATATTAGCATAAAATTATTATGTTTTACTAAATAATCAAATTAATTGAATAAATGTTATAAAAAATTTTCTAAAAATTTATTATTTTATTTTTTAGAAACAAAAAATAGTAAATTCACCAAATTTAAAATATATATTATCTGGTGATATATTAGCATTAAATTATTATATTTTACTAAATATTCAAATTAATTGAATAAATGTTATAAAATAATTTCTAAAAATTTTAAACCAAATGCATTTTCTAGTTTTCTATTTTAAGAAATCGTTTTTCAAAATGACAAACCAAACACGTTTTTTGTAATTCGAAACAAGCCCCTCAAAACAAAAAACTAAAAATGAATTTAAAACAGAAAATAGAAATTAGAAACACAAACCAAACGCACCTTAAGTAACTGATGCATGAACTTTGATAATATAGAAGATATTTAATTTTTTTTTCAATTATTATTATTTTTTACGCCAAATTATTTAAACGTACATGTTTTCAAAATTGGGTAAATTGATATAAGTATAACTAAACTTTGAGAAAAAAATAAATTGAATAAATTTTTTTTAATTATCTCAATTAAGTCAACAAAGTTCATATTGATATCAAATTTCATTACTCTATCACACGTTCTCAATTTTGTAAAAATTGCTTAATTGGCAAATTTTTCATATGATCATCTGTGACAAGTGAAAAACCTAACGTTCGACCCAACTAACACCTAGAGGGGGTGAATAGGTGTTCATGCGGAATTAAAAAAACTTATCAATTAATTCGTGCAACAAGTCACAAGAATTAAAGTTTGTCCAGATTCATTCACATGTCTTAATTACTTATGTTGAATTACCGGTAACAATAAATAAATTAAAGCAATAAAAGAACACAACGAATGTTGACGGAGAAACCCCAACTGGGTAAAAACTCCGGGCTCAAGCCAGTAGAGATCCACTATTTGTAGAAGGTAACTTACAGTACGTCAGAACAATTGATCCCCTCAATTTTCTAACCTCCTTACTGTTTGAGAACAAGACTCTCCTAGATCTAGCAGATCTGTGCTACCATCCCAGCCTTGTGTGACTTCTACTTCCCGTGAATCGTCAAGCACTCCCACTCTTCAAGCCAGTTCTTCCCGGATCTTCAATCTAAGGATCTTCTGGAAGTTTTATAGGATTTAGAGAAGGTGGTGTTTTGGTGTTTCAAAGTGTGATGTTTTTCTGCAAAAGCCAAGGATTTTTTAATCTGAAGAGTTTAGAAGATTGTTTTGCTTTTTGAACCTTGGTGTGAAAGATATAAAGGATTAATCTTCAAGGATTTTAGAGTGAAGCAATAATATGGCTTCAATGTGTATTTTCTCCATAATCAACTCGAAGGAGACGAATGGTATTTATATGGCTCAACATATGGTCTTGTGGCGCGTCAAAAATTCGCGATCTTTTAAATTTAATGTTGCCCAGATAAATAGGTCGCTCGAGCGAGGGACCAGCGTGACTCGAGCGACGTCCACTTCGCTCGAGCGACCTGCTGGCAAGGCTCTAGCGACAGTGGTTCTGCAATCTTGGCTCGAGCGATATCATGGCGTGACTCTAGCGAAATCTCGCGCCGTTTGCAACTTCGAGGCATCCATCACAACCCTAGACCTAGCCTTCAACACTTTGATTAATTGCAACTCAAGTCCCTGAACTATTGGACATTTGACACTTTGGTCCTTGACCTTACAATTATGACATTTTAATCCTTGACGTTACAATTATTACATTTTGGTCCTTGGTCACAGATTTGCCAATTACATATTTCCTAACAACAAGTAATCTACCACTAAGTCATTTCATAAGTGTTGAAATTAAGATTACAAAACATACTTTTTGAATTTTAATCTAAGATATTTATCACACCCTTCATTTTACCATTTTCTTTTATAAGATCCAATGTAACGTTACATGGAAGATTAGATATGATATTGCCACTGACTAAATAATTTCAATAAGTTCGGGAGATGGTAGATCGTAGAACATGACAAAGTGACAATTTTTTAAGCTAAATTGAAGTTTAGTACAATTTAAAGTTTAATGAATCAATTGAGATTTTGTTGAAATTTCAATGACCACGGATGAAATCTACCTATTGAGAGTTTATTCAATTGACATAAGACTTGAAATATTTTAAAATGAAAATTTAAATAAGTTATGTTGCATTAATACTTATCGACTTTGAACGATCCTTGTCCCAATAAATTTCCACAACCCCGCTACGTGTCCAGAAGACGGTTGACAGAATTTATACAAATAAGACATAGCCGGGGGAGGTGTGGGTTTTTTTTTTTTTTTGCCACATGGGTCCCCACAATGTGAGAGATCTGTAGTATTTCTGTCAAATCCATTTCTATATAATCTGATTTTCCTAGATTTCTATAACTTCTCATCAAAGTACTTTTCGAAATTAAAAAAAGAATAAAGGGGAAAAAAATAAAAATCCAGCCAATTGATAGTTCTTATATGGTCTTTGACAAGTGACATCTTCAAAATTAGAAAGAATGCATAAATGCATAATGTGTAAATCACGAATGACCAATTGTCTAAAATGAAATAAGGGTATGAAAAATTGCATCCTGTACAGAAATGCTTGAGTTAACCCACGATAATCACTTTGGTAAAAATTTCATGCCAAGCTGTACTTCTTAATTCAATCATTATTTTGTCAGGTGTTAATATCTTATTCAGAAAATTAATAAAATATTTACATACAAGGCCATCTTTTAGTGCGTTCAATGTTAAATGCCAAAATAATATTTTCCTAAAAGTATAATTAAATTATTTATTGGCAATGCAACAAAGAATTGTCTTTAATTTGGAATAAATTAGTTGAATAAATTCAATAGATAGGATCCCAAGTTTCTCGTGACTGTATCTACTCACCGCACCTAACTCTCAATCAAACTCTTACCACTTTCTAGTTTCTACCCTTTTTCCCAAGTTATTCAGCAAAGACCGCTAAAGGTGTACACAGTTTGGACACATTTACCTCCCACCAAAGACTAATGAGTAATGAGTCAATGACCAACACACTCAATTGACCAAATTATAAGATTTTATTTTATTCTACTATATTAAACTTTAGGACGTTTAAGTCAAATGTTAGAATTGACTAAATCACGATTCACTTAAGATACAAGCATAAAATAGACAAAGTAGGATATTTTGACAAAGTTGATCAAAGGGGTAAGCGGTAAGCCACATAGCTCATGATAATTTGATCAGACCATTTAAAATAAAAGTAGAATGTGAGTCTATGATACTATGTCGTGTCGAACCTTACGATGAAGATTCGAGAGTGTTAGGAATTAATCGGATGAGAAAAGAAGTGAAATTAGTAAAATAGAGTCGAAGTATTTTCACAAATCAACTTCCAAACGAAAAAATTATACTCTGGATTTTTAGCCTCAAAAACTTGTTTCAATTTTATATTCCGTAAGTGTACGGATCGTAACAAGTAATAAATAGATTTATGAATTCGTATTATCGTTCCCACGATGACTTACTTTAGTACACAATTTATTATTTTTAGCTTCTATTTGAACGAAACAGTGATTGGTTGTGATTTTTAATCTGACTACTGAAAAATATGTGGATGCAATAAAGAATTATTGAGAATTCAAATAATAAATGGGTGTTAGGAGGAACAATTTCACCTATTGGTCACATTTACTTCTTATATCGAGATTCACAAAATCTAAAATATTGTTCGATCGAATTCTTCTATTATATTTAATTTACTTCTTTCCAGTTCTCATTGAGCCTATTTAAATAACTTAATTTCATATCTCTATACGAATCAGAATTATTAAAACGAAATAATAGTTTTAAGAATTCCTATATAACCACAGCAATTAATAAATGCAC